AAATAGGAAAGTATACTTTTAGTCTACTTTTTATGTACTTCTCAAAAATATACTTAAAATGACATTTAAGTATACTTGACTTATACTTAGAAAAAGTCTAAATATATTTCAGCTAGAGTATTGAAATAGTACACTTACAAGTATACTACTAGTACACTGATATTTGTATACTTACTACATAAAGTATACTTAAAAATATACTTGAACTTTACTTAAGTATACTTACTAAAATAAACTTGAAGTATACTACTTTTTGGTAAGGGTGGTGCAAAGACACTGAAGATAGCCAGCATTGTTATCTTAATGCACCCATGGCTGTGAAGACAGTCAGACTCAGACACAACAGAAGGACATACAAAACAGACAGGTGCTGTGAATCTGACTCGGGCAATGGTTTAGAGACAAGCTTGGAACTGGAGCCAACGGGAACTGGTGAGCCACGCAAGGAGAGCACACAGAATGTCAAGATAGACAGTACCGACTTGGAATCTGTCTGAGAAGAGGACATCTGAAGCATATTTAAATAAATAAATAAAGACAAGAGCACAAGCTCAGTCACAGGGGCTGGTAAGGAAATCTCAGGCATTGGAACATACAGGCAAGAGCTTGAAGGCTGAGACAGGTAAGGAAGCAAAAAGGATGATACCAACTGTGGTTAGAACAGTGGTTCTCATCCTTTTGACTCGAAAGCCCCTATTTTAGTATTTCTGCAGTATTCAGCCTATGGCAAAGCTGCTTGTTTTCAAACTTAAGTGTTGATATATTCAATTAATAAATCAGGATTCACTTTGTAATTCCAGAAGTTTTAGGAACAGTATGTTCTTCAATTTTAAAAAAAATTGTTTTTTAAATTAAGTCATTCTGTGGCACTAGAAATTAGTTGAACTACACTGACAGGTAAGGAAGCAAAAAGGATGATACCAACTGTGGTTAGAACAGTGGTTCTCATCCTTTTGACTCGAAAGCCCCTATTTTAGTATTTCTGCAGTATTCAGCCTATGGCAAAGCTGCTTGTTTTCAAACTTAAGTGTTGATATATTCAATTAATAAATCAGGATTCACTTTGTAATTCCAGAAGTTTTAGGAACAGTATGTTCTTCAATTTAAAAAAAAATTGTTTTTTAAATTAAGTCATTCTGTGGCACTAGAAATTAGTTGAACTACACAATATGGAGAAAAGTATTGGGACACCTGACCATACCAGGACTTTAATGACATCACATTCTAAATACATTTATGACTTAGAAATGGGGAATACACCAAGCAATAAACAGAAGTAAAAATGAAAACATTCAATTACAGACATACACGTTTATATACAATAAATTCAGTAAACAACCGAACATCTTAAGTAAGTAATTTCTTTAGATTAGCGCCAGATGGCGCTGGCGTTCTTTTGCCTGGCTGAAGTGTGTTGCCAGGTGCTCTTTTTATAAGCGAATTTTAGTTTTGAGCTTTTTTAATGAGCTTGTTTATTTTTCTAGCGTGATCTGGCAACATTGAGTTTCTGGCCTTACGAGTCAACATCAGCTTCCTGAGCTCCGTTTCAAACACGCAGCTGGACAAAAATGGTACGTGTTCATTTATCAGAACCGGTTTCCTTATCAGAAAATACTCGTCCGTTTTAACTTATCATTAAAACCATGCGTCCGAGTAGATATTTAAGCTGCTTTCCCAAAAATCTGGCATTTTAGAACAGAAGGGTCACATGACAGCAGCGAGCTAGCGCTGCCTGAGTGATTCAGCCCATGTTCACAACACTATCGAGTCAGGATGTAGTCAGTCAATATCTTTTAAATAGATTAAATCAATGACACTCGAAATATATTCTTTGATATATGAACTAATTATACTTTTCAGCGTTGCGATACTTGGTATAGTGTCTTAGTACTAAAGGCTTAGTCCAGTAACAGTTTGCTAGGCTACAGTGGCTAACATAAAACGGTTATTCTAGTATACTTTATATTACAAATTATATTGCATATGTTTACAAAATTAAATGTTTGTATTGGCAGTACAGCCAAAGCATTTTTTTTATACATATTACTTTGTATTCATTTCACAGTGTCTTGTTTGTGTTAGCTGTTTAAACCCGAAGAGGAACGTTTTAAAATGTATTTGCGCTGCAATAAATATCGGTCCAAATCCGTTTTACATTATATAGTGCTTTCAAATCGAATCGTTGTCATTGAAATGCTTTTGAAAGTGATACTATGTTCTTATGGGAAGCCTCGGCAGCTCTTACCCCAAGCTTCACACTAACCGCCTGCAAGTGCCATCCATTCACCAACCACAATCAGCTAACATTCAATCCAATTTATGTTGAGTTTCCAGTTGATATTATTTATCCACTTTGTTTCAGTTTTCTTTCTGTCTTTCATCTTTTGTATGTTGTTTTTTGTTGTGATCATGCATCCACATCCCCTCCCTCACACCCTTCCTCACCCACTGTTCCCCATCCCGACCTCTGCATCGTATTCAGGCTGGTCACAGAGTAAGTGCCTCTCCAGACCTCTCCTGCTCACAGTTTTCTCAATTTTAGATTAGCGCTGCTGTTTCCTCTGGGCTGCTGGATCCTCTCACCTTCAGTCTTGCTTTTTGTTTGCATTGCTCTGGGTTTACAATGTTCTTCATCAAGTGAAACTAATTTCTGTGATCATCAAGTTAATAATCTAATTATCAGCTTGAAGAATGATTGAGAATTGAACACCATGTTGAGTATATATAGTCCTGTTTCTAAGCATTCTACAGGAACGTTTTGCATAATGCATATTTTATAAACATTGTGAGGTATATATTAAACACAAGGTAAATGGAGTATCATTGAGACTTGGTCAAACATACTGGTCTCATAAGAATATTGGCTTATGTTTGGAATGGGATACTAATGTACTCTTCAATGATATTAAGGTGTCTTTACAAAGCCTGCTTTGTGCCTTCTCAAAATGCAGTTAAAAAGGTGCAATGCCACATAAAATCATGACTAAATTATGCTTGCTCAGCCTCTAGTATCAATATATACATTTGTAATACATTTATGTTATCTCTGAGCAGCATTAAACAGTCTGTGTAAAGACACCTAAATAGCATTTCAGAAGCTCTTATGTGCCACCTTTGCAGTGTAAATTTGGCATTAGAAATAAAAACAGTCAATTTGCGTCCAGTTTTGTGTCCAAATGTCATAACTTCAGGCAGTCAAATAACAAAATATCGCACACTGCATACATAAAATGTGCATACTGCATCTCATATTGCTACATTTTGCAGAAATAATAAGGCTGCGTCTGAAATGGCACGTTCTCTGAGTAGGTGCTTCCTTTGAATAATTTTTTTAACGCTTAATGCAAGCTTTAAAAAAAGCATGTTCTATATATTATGAATGTGTGAATTATTAATTTAATCCAGACATTCTGAATTTGCCATTTTGGCATTGTCATTTGGGTACTTTTTTCTTTTTGTGTTATGAATACTACGGACACACCACTCTTTTCACATACTGTTTTTTTGCCTGCTATATTGTAGGGAAGGATGTGATTTCTGATGCAGTCACAGTGTAGGATGCTAGTATGCTATTTCAAACATAGCCTTGTTGTCTTCAAATGTTCAGCTGTGTTTTTTTATTGAAAAAAAATCTTAAGTGCATTCCATAAGATCTCTGTTTTCTATAGTACCAAAGATATGAATCTACTGAACATTTTTAGGCATGTATGTGAACGGTTTGATCTCAGCCTGTTTTAGGTCCAGCAAATTCAACAGAACAGACAGTGTTAGAATCAGCTCTCTTGTGCTCAGCTTTGACTTGATTGCTGTCTGAAGAAAATTTGACACATTAATGCTTCCAAATAGATAGGCAAAACATTTTCTCCCAAATGTTGTTATTAAAGATTTCATTCAGACAGCAATTCTTTGCTTACGACTTCACTAGTCCTTCACTCTCAGTGTCCAACAACTAAGGTTTGAACACTAACCAGTTTTATTTCGCCATTAGTTGGTCCTTGTATTAGGTGACCTTCACATTCCCCACCGATGCAACACCCTGCCTGCCAAATTCAAGAAGTTGCTAGTGCCTGGCAAGATTCAGCACATCCTCTGCACGGGAAACCTTTGTACAAAGGAGAGCTACGACTACCTGAAAACACTCGCTGGAGACGTGCACATTGTCAGAGGAGACTTCGATGAGGTTGGCTTTTAGTTCCTATTTCTGTTTTTCGTAGTTGTTCATGCACTCTTTTAACCTTTCACATTGCTTGTTTTAATGGACAGAACTTGAATTATCCAGAGCAGAAGGTGGTGACAGTGGGGCAGTTCAAAATCGGTCTGATCCACGGACACCAGGTGATCCCGTGGGGTGACATGGCGAGCTTGGCACTGCTTCAGAGGCAGCTGGATGTGGATATCCTCATTTCTGGTCACACACACAAATTTGAGGCTTTTGAGAATGAAAATAGATTTTATATTAACCCTGGATCTGCCACAGGGGCCTATAGTGCACTGGAAAGGTATAACATTTACTTTTATATCCTCCACATCGTGTTATATGCAGGTAATTACATGATTTGTGATTGTCTCTTTCCAGCAACATCACACCATCGTTTGTTTTGATGGACATTCAAGCATCTACAGTGGTAACGTATGTCTATCAGCTCATTGGAGACGACGTCAAAGTCGAGAGAATCGAATACAAAAAGTCTTAGAGTGCGGATACTGTCAGCTGCCTTCTTTCAGGATGCTAATCTTGTCATTCCCTCTCACCTGAACGTCACAAATGCTGTATCATAACGTTACGCTATATTTTAATGTAATATATAATACTGTTTATATGTCACCAGAATGTCAGCGTTTTGGTTTCAGCAGATAGTTGTTGAGGATGCAATAATGCTGCATTATTTGCATAATGTTAGTGCAAATTAGTCTTCTAAATATGTTATGTGCCCTATTAATTGTTCAAGGTCCATGTTAAGTCATCTTTCATAAAATAAAACCCCACATCACATAAGCAGTGTCATTTTGTTTTTTATTTTATAAGAAAACACAGAATGCACATTATTAAAATGACTATTTTGAAATGTCTGGAACAGCTTTTTACTTAAAACTGGATCGTGTTGGGTATGTTTTAAGAATGATCTTGTTAGGTATTTTTCACAAATGACAAATAAAACAGATTGATGTGTTAGCTAAGGAATAGAAAGTCCTCATCATCGTCTTCCGATTCATTGAAAGACAGGCCACTCATGTGTCCAGCAATATAAGAGTCCATTTCAGCCCCCTCCCATTCAAAGTCATCTTCCCATGGATGTGATTCTGGAAATTTAAGTCCATTTTGAATAATGTTTAGCACAAAACATGAACCTGACTTGTTCATAATATCAGAATTGTAAAGAATCATGTATATCACACTATTTGTAGTCTGTAAAGTAACAAACCTACCCCGTGACGAAGCATGTTTTGAAATGGTAGTCCTTCTCTTTTTTGAATGTATTTTGTTTGATTTTGCAAATCCAGAGGATATTCTGTGTAGTAGTTGAATATTAGGATCACAGCTATTTCTTTCAACAGTGTTTTAGCATTTTTACAGGTGGCATCATTTTCTTACCTTTGATGCTTGACAATTTTAGGTAAAGTTGTTTTCTTGACTTTCTCTGAGGTTGAAGATCTTTTTCCACTTTCTTTTGTCTTGCTCGTAGATGTACTTTGAGAATTTGTCGTGGGCTCCTCTTGTGGGGTGCATGTTGACATCTGCAGCTTCACGTTTAGATTCACATTCGCATCTGGCACTGAATATGAAGTATATTAAATTATATATTACATATTTCATTGTAATGAAAGGTCTTGCTAATACAGGTAAATATGCTTATGTTATAAGAGGCGATGGTTCACCTGTCCTGATACAGCGGTGCAATACATTCATATAGTGTTGACATATTAACTGCCGCATGTGCTCTTTACTGTAGGCCTCTGCGATACTATACAGAAAACGCTTCTGTCCGGGTGTCAGGCCTGGGTGCTGAAAATAAAGTTAATATGGATTTTGAGTTACTTGGCATAAGTTTCTTAATGGCTGCTGAACCAGTCCTACCATTGTAATTTTATCAGATATATTTATCAATTCATTGCAAAAAATAAAAAAGTCAAAAGTTTTGAATAATTATGTTTTTTTTAATGTTGTTGTAATAAGTCTCTTATGCTCACCATGGCTGCATTTTTTTATACCGTACCAACAGCAATATTATGAAATATTATTTTAAAAATGTATAACCGTTTTCTATTTGAATATATTTTAAAATATAATTTATTCCAGTGATGGCAAAGCTACATTTTCGGCAGCCAAAAATTAATCTTTGCCATCACAGCGATAAACGACATCTTAAAATGTAGTAAAAAAATTAAATTGTAATAATATTTCACAATTACTTTCATTTTAATAAAATAAAACCATAGGAGACTCTACTTATTGCAGACTTTTGACTGGTCGTGTATATTTTCATGAAATACCTGTAAAAATGGAGCAGCAGTTATGGTCTTAGGGATATGAATAGTTTTAATGCCCCGATCTTGTTCTGGCACTTGTACAGTTGCAGGTCTTTGTATTTTGTGTCCAAATACTGAGCTTGTTTTGCCTGGATAAAAAAATTAAAGAAAAATTAAGTCCTTTAATTGAATATTAGTTACAGTTCACATGACAAATATTAATAAAGTAATAATAATCTGCTATACATATGAAAGCCGTTTGTCTTCAGAGGATTTTTTTGGAATGCCTGTTTGGTCCCACTCAATTGGGTCAGAGACTCTGGTTACTCTGTCCAAATTATACAGGTGTAATGTTTCTGTAATTTACACAGATTAAGCTTGCTACTGTAGCCGTATGGAAAAAACCTGTCAGGTTGCTAGGGAGATAAAATGGTTGTGTTTTGAGTTCAAACTTACTGTAAATGCTATTGCAGATGTATATAACAGAAGAGTGCTGTAGAAATGCAGTGATGTGATTCAAGAACTAACATTTTTAGGACATTAAAACATGCAAAATAATGCACTTAAGTTATGTAAATTATACAAAATTATTTTAAAGCCAGCCTGTTTGCTCGTATAGGACAATAAAATTATAGGAAGTGGCAAATTAGCTGACATTAATATAATTTTAATTTTGCAAATCCTCAAGTATCGTTTCCATTAAAAATAGTGTGAAGTTCAACCTATTTAACCAACAAAAACTTAACAGAATTTAGGTGGTATATTTACATTATATAGGCCCCTACATTGTGTGTATATATATAGGTCATAGCAATTACAGTACAAAGGCAGCAATTGCTAATCTGACCAATTAATAATTATATACGGAACAAACTTACCAGTTTGCACATGATTGAGACCAGATGGCCTGTCAAGATATTATATCATAGGAAATACATAATTAATGTGACAACAACACAATAATTTGCATAGCCGTTGTATGATATTTCTGAGGCTTACCTTAAAGGCAAAAGCGACTTTTTGTGGTACAGACGACTTTTATCGCTGTTTTCAAGGAATTTCACGTGCTTTTTCATGCCGGAGTGTTACCTGAACTGAGACTTGTAGAATATTTACAAGTGATATAAGGCGACTGTAATCGCATCCGATACTGCGCGTGCGTGCGCGAGTGAGTTTCCAGTGTTTTGACCTCAGCGGGCTTCCGTAGGTGACGGAAAACAGCATGGCTACTGTAGATATTGTAAGTGGAACATATTGCTGAGGCAAATAACGTTTTTTTGTGTGAAATAAGTGAAAACGGCATACCATCTAGTGCTGTCGGAGCAGGAGAATTAACAATGCCTCGATACGCGCAACTAGTGATGGGTCCTGCCGGAAGTGGAAAGGTAATTCAGTACCAGGAGGACTAACGTTAGTTGAGTTAACATACTAAATGATCCTAACAATTATGATTTTATTTTATTGTGTGCGTATCTGTGATCGAGTGTTAAATCTAAAACTTAAGTCTGGTCTGCATTGATCGTATTTATTTTAGTCTAAGTACAATACTAGAACCAAAAAATGTATCGTTGCCTATGGGGTATCGTGATTCTTATATTGAATCCAATTTATTTTCTGTATTTTTCAGAGTACTTACTGTGCCACAATGTTAGAGCATTGTCATGCCCTCGACCGATCTGTACAGGTGGTGAATCTGGATCCAGCTGCAGAGCATTTTGAGTATCCTGTCATGGCAGGTCAGGAATCAATATATAGATACACACACACACAGTAAAATACACTCTCAGATATTTTGAGCAGTTTATATCAGAAGGTTTTTAGGATCATGAGAAACAAATGCAGTCAAGTGTTTGACTGCCAAACTAATGTGCAGACAGTAATTGTGTCATTATTTACATTTTGTAATTATTTGCATTGAGAAAAAAAACAAGATTTCAAGCTTTTTAAAATAATAATAATAAATGATTTTGGTATTTATTGTAAATAATATAAAAATATCAAATTATAATAGATTAAATGACCTTTTAATTAAATATTTCAAGGTCAAAAAAGAGAAGCAAATATGTGGATGAATCATTCACAATAAGATGGGATCATATGCATTTAGAAAATAGACAGGTAATGAATTTTGATTTCATTATAATTCTTTAAAGTTAAGAGGTCAGAGCCTTCAAATAAATACTTTGCATATTAAAACATTCAAAAGTCATATAATTTGTATTTGATAAGTAGGGTTGCAACTGCCCCTACCTCAAAGCCAAAGTAGCCTTTATTGACATTTTTAACATTTGACATTAAAGGGATAGTTCACCCAAGAATGAAAATGTTGTCATCATTTACTCACCCTCATGTCATTCCAAACCTGGATGAGTTTCTATCTTATGCTGAACATGAAAGAAGATATTTTGAAGAATGCTGGTAATCAAACAGTTGATGGCCCCCATTGACTTCCTTAGTATTTCTTTCCCTACTATGGAAGTCAATGGGGACCAACAACTGTTTGGTTCTTCAAAATATCTTCTTCTGTGTTCAGCTTAAGAAAGAAACTTATTCAGGTTTGGAACGACATGAGAGTGAGTAAATAATGACAAAATTGTCATTCTTGGGTGAACTATTCCTTTAAATTAAAAACAACATCCGACAGATAAAACTGTATGTAGGTTTACATTCAAAAGCCTTTTTTTGCCGAAAAATTCAGTCACACTCCCTCTCAGACAGAGGACAAACTCTATGGACCATGAGCTCAATAAATGTCATTTCTGTAACATGCTTATTTTTAAAGACATTTAATGTGTTGTTACCATTTTCACCGTATACAGACATTCGAGAACTGATCCAGGTAAAGTTTACAATCGTTCTGTAGTAAATTACTAAGACGACACTGTTTTCTTTAGATTGATGATTACAGTATGGTTCGTTTCCTGCCCTTTGACCGCGCTGATGAGGAGGGCATCAACATTGTCCTGCAGCACATTGATTTCTCCATACAATATGGTGAAGACCTGGAGTTTAAAGAGCCCAAGGTCTGTGCATAAGATTACTGCCATATGCTGTGAACTGATGTTTGATTCAAATATATATTTCTGTAGCTTGTTTATTACAAAAACAGTTGTTTAGACTAAATTAGTTTTAGATTACAACAAAATTAGCATTTCGCACAACTGCTCTTTTTTTCCTTTTATTTTTATTCCAGGAAATTGATGGGGAACCCAGTAACACAAATTTTGATGAGTTCTTCCAAGACGGAGACGATTCTTGGGATCACACTTGAAAGCCAGCCAGATTTGTTCAATTAAGAGTTTCATTTATTTAAACTATATTTTGTGTCACTGTCATTCATAATGTCATTAGATGAAGGATGCAACCATAACCTGTGCAATGCCTCTTGATCTTAACAGAGTTTTATAAAAATGTAATCCATTTTTTAAAAGTGCATATTTATTTTTGCAATAAAAATATGGAAATTACAAATGTGGTGTTTTAATTTTGTTTAAAAATCCAGCCATTACATCTGTCACAACCCAGTGGTGTAGAATCCTTAGGCTGATGATACACGGGGCAACATTGTGAGCAGTTTTTACGGGCAACTATTTTAAGCAATGTTGCTCGGGCACATTTTACCATTGAGAATGGGTAGCAATTTTCTATTTATATATATCTGGTCGTGGGCCCTGTCTCAACTTGGTGCCCGTTGATGGCAATATTGCTCAAAAAGTTGACCCGTGTATCATCAGCCTTAGAAACACATTGATGGAGACGTGGAATAGTAGCTTATCATTATGAGTTCTTCAATAGTGGACAGTTAAGATTATATATTTGGCCCCATCAATATTTGGTTACATCCTAATGTACTTCCTATGTTGTCTTGGTAGGTACATCAAAATTGTGTGTGTGGACATTTTTTTAAATGGCACATGTAACATATTTAGATAACTTAAAATAAGTGATATTAAAAATCTTAAAAGACATTTTGCGGGGAAAAAAACAACTGAGGCAAAGCTGGTATCCTCGGCGCCCCCCAGTGGTTATGGCGGGATATTGCACTGGAAACTTCCTGTATCGGTGTTGGGTGGGACAGTCACAGCGGAAGCGGCGTCTTGCAGCGTTGACATATTCATTTTGCCTGCAAGATTTGGGACATATTGCGCCAAAATGCCGGTAAGAAATCATTAAACGTAACAATTTAGACGGCGAGCGCAATTGTTTGTGTTATGAGCAGTTTGTTGTGCCACGTTTTAGAGTAGTGGCGAACTAGAAAAATATTTTAGCGTTATTAGCCATAGAGCTAACCTACTCTGGCCATTTTTCTACAAATGTAACAGTTTTACAAATACATATTGTATTATGTTTTTGATATTTATGCATCATTGCCAGATGTGTATATGTACGTGTCAGAAATGTGTTGTTAGAAACAGAATTTGTGCATCTGTCCATGATGCAAACAACTGGAGTTCCTCATTTGCATTCAGCTCAGTGATCACTGATTTTCTTTAAACATTGGTCATTTTAAAACAAATTTACTATATTAAAGAAATATTACTTAGTAACTCTTGTATTTTTTGTGATGTTCCACTCTCTTCAGGCTTACCACTCAACCCTGATGGATGCAGACACCAAACTGGTGGGGAATATGGCATTGCTGCCTCTCAAAACACAGTTTAAGGGTCCTGCTCCTAAAGAAAGTAAGAAAGGTTGCTTGAATTCAGACAGTCCTGTGAGGTCAGAGTTGTATGTGTTTCTTCCTTAAATGGCCATCACTAGTAAAGGGTATTTGACAAATCGACTCTTCCTTCCTGTTTCTATATTCAGCCAAAGACACAGATATTATCGATGAGGCCATCTACTACTTCAAAGCCAATGTTTTCTTCAAGAATTATGAAATTAAGGTAAGACGAATGACTGTAGCATGCTGTGCTGGAGCCTAAAAAATGCCTTGTGTGTCTTAACATGCATTCATAGTTCTGACCTGAGAGAGAAGAATACATATTCTCACTGTATTCTGATTTAAACTCTTTATATATGCATATACACAGTTTTGTTTTTTTATCTCTCATATGTCTTTTTATTTTATTGTTGAGATTTTGTATTGAAATATTCACTTTTATACTTTTGTTAGAATGAGGCAGATCGAACTTTGATCTACACCACTCTTTACATCTCTGAATGCCTCAAGAAGCTCCAGAAGGTAACTGTTGAAGCATAAAAGCTTCATTGTATATTTCAAACAGTCAGTGATGAATCATTTGTCAGGTGTTGTTCGTTTTTCTCATAGTTTATTCTTCATACATTATCTAACTACAATCTCATAAATGATTTATAGTGCAGTTCAAGGGGTCAAGGAGAGAAGGAGATGTACACGCTGGGAATTACCAACTTTCCCATCCCTGGAGAACCTGGCTTCCCTCTGAATGCCATGTATGCTAAACCCTCTAACAAACAGGAGGATGGTATGGCACAGTGAAGTCAAAACTTACTTGGGTCTAGTTGTTTTGCACATCCACTAAGACCTTCATTATGATGAGTTTATTAGCAGTTTTATTGCTGATTACAGAATTGATCTAGATACTGTGTTTTTCTCCTGGACAGAAACGATGAGAGCTTACCTGCAACAGATCCGACAGGAGACGGGACTGAGATTGTGTGACCGTGTGTTCGACCCTCAGACAGACAAACCAAGCAAGGTGAGGCATATTGAAATATTATTTATCAGTCAAATCAAGGTGATTGACAAAAGCAAGAGAGGTTTTTATAGGCATTTTATTCATTTAGTTAATTGATAAAAAATTTTGTGCACTGTGACATTTTAATGACAATTAAGAACAGTTTTCCTCAAGTCTTGTTACTACAATGCAAAAAGAAAAGTTAGTTTAAGAGTTTTTTTAGAATTTTTTAAACAGGACACGTATTTCCTCAAGTCTGTGCAACATATGTTTTGTTTAAATGATTATGTTTAAATAATTGTTTTTGAGGGTTTTGTGCATTGTAACATTATATTCATGACATATAAACACGTTTCCTCCCAAGTCTTGTTACTGTAATATTACAAACCAAAAATTGTTGCGAAAACACATTTTTTTATATTGTGGCAAGACATTTAAGCAATTTTTTTTTCTGTCCTGTTACTGTAAAAAGTTGTTGCTTAGTGATGTTTTTTTTTTTTCACGGTGACATTATTTTCATTTCAATTGAACTAAGCACATTGCTTGGTGACACTGAAATATAACTTGGACATTTCTTAACCATTTTTTGAGATTCACCGAAACATTATTAGTGTCTTATGTGAAATGTTTCAAATTCATGATATTAAACTAAATTCAAATGTTGATAATTTCTTTTCATCTTTTATAGTGGTGGGTGTGTTTTGTGAAGAAACAGTTCATGAACAAAAGTCTGTCTGCACCTGGCCAGTAAGAAACCGCTCAGGATCTCTCTTGGTGTTTCTGCGTGGGATGTGGATGGATTTTTTTCTTTGATGTCTGTTTTTTTTTTTTTTCTTCTTTAATGTGTATGCGAGTGTGTTTACCCTGAGATTTTTTTTACTGGCGATTATCAAGTATATTTGATTTCTGGCCTGTCATATGAAACAGGAGCCAATCAAATAAAAATCTATTAAAGAGAACCAGCTAGGCGATATCTCTCATTTCTACGTTTTTCATCTAATATTTAATATCAAGTATTTTATCTCAGCCTTATTTCAATTACTAAAAACAATTCTTAATTGTTTCAGTTAACAATAACAACACTGCTTGGTGTGTAGTGAGTTCATAATTGTTTTATTTATCTGAACTTATTAAAGTGCATAAATGATTGCTGCAGAAAGAAATGACATTCCTCCATATTTAGTGCTCAAAAATCAATATTCTGCCACTCAAATTGGAGAAAAGTGAGTTTCACACCAGTAACACACCACTGAATCGATCAAAACGTGACTAAGACCAACTGGAAATGCACGACTTATTGCTTAAAATAGTTTTCTGTCTTTAGAACAATAGAATTACATTTGCATTAGTACACAACACCCAACAGACCTGACACAGACAAGATCCTAAAAGATGTGTTGCCAAGAATCGTATGCACCTTTAGAAGTTAGAGGTAACTGCTTTTGACATGACTGACACAAGACATAAACAACAAGACAAAATGACTGACACAAGACATAAACAACAAGACAAAGGCAAGACATAAGGACAAACACTAGATATGTAAGACAAATGCTACATTTTAATGAGTAATTTACATGATGGGACCTTTGGGGAACAAAAGAGTGAACAGGATACAGTCATAAATGTGATTTCAAAACTACATGTGGGGGAAACATCACAAACAAATGACTGATAGAGCTATGGTACAATACATCATATTTACATACACAAAATACAGCTTTTGAGCTTACCATTTATACAAAAAATATTCTCTCTGTCTCATGCAAATATCGAACTTTTTGGTTTGTCCAAAAGAGGATTCCAGCTCAAAAACAGACTAGACATTGAGACGGACTTGACATCACTGAATACAATTTTCCTTTCCGATAGGAGAACAACTTAAGGCAGCAGAGAAAGAGATGGCCCTTTGAGAGACTTCTGCGGTATTGTTTTGTTGTTTTTTAAGGGAACAGGGCTGTCCGACATGTCAGTGAGAAGAGAAATCAGTATCGATTCTGACCATCAGCCTCTACTAGTACCATAAACGCACAAAACACACCAGAATTGCATAAAAGACTTCGTTCAAAATTGATGGCTCAGTGGCAGATAAAAAAGCGAGTCAAAACACAAGTGTCATGCAGTACATTCATCATAATTAAGATAATAAATAATTCAGACACACTAGAGGGTGGAGGGTAATCGACATTAACAAAACGTGCTATAACTCACACATTCAGATAAAAAAAGAAAATAAATTATTCTACGGTGGCTTTGCTCTGATATCCCTAAATGGTGCAAACCCAAATAACTGGTGACTAAAATAAAGGTGATCGCCTATTAAGTTTGTAATTGGCATGTCAAGGGGGGCTGGTTAGAATTCAATACACGCGATGAAGCTTTGCCTACACATGATCCAACACATCAGTTAAAGACTATTAAATTGATATGAGCTTGTCATGGGTTTTAAAATCAATGCTGAAATAAATCCTCAAACTGTCTTTGACCTCAAGATATGGAGATGGGAACTGATATGTACTAAACGAAACAGTGATGGGGCGTCTAGTCGAATGCCATTTCTTGGCTTTTCCTCACACAGCGGGCGACTTTCCTCTTGAACTCACCGTTGGGATCCTCTCGCCACTCTTTCTGCAAGCCAATCACAAATGTGAGAGTTTCAGTCATGAACTTGCATTTAAAACCCATTTTATTTAAATTAAGTGACATTTTGGAGTGAAATTTTTTTTTTTTAATGCATGTGGGACTTGAGTTTTTTTATCCAGGATGTAGA